CAACAAGCAGCTGGTAGATTTGAATCACTGACCTTCTGGTTAGCAGCCTGAGCTCTTAACCACTATGCCACCAGAGCTCCTTAATAGCTAGTTTCCTTTTATTTCTTTTGTCTTGAAAGCATGGGGCATATCTGACTATTATCAGTATTAAAATAAGTTCCTAGAAGCATTTTTTTTTTCCTTTCCTTGATACATGATGCAAAACTACTCAATTTTAAAATAAATTGATCACACTTTAAAACCAAGATTCTTACAGTTAATTTCAAAAGAAACTCCCAGTCACCAGGCAAAGAATAAGGTTGTACAGATTTATCACTGCCTGCATTTGTTACAATTTAGCCAAGCATAAAGGTTATCCATCAAATTATCACCTCGTTGAAATATTTTTACTGTTAGTACTTCAGTTATCTGAATTTTACATTGAACTGATGCCCTAACGTATTAAATGAGATTATATAATGAAAAATTACCATGTGCACAGAATACTTATCACACCAAGCAACCAGCATTTTAACCTATGATTAGATCTTCCAACACCAGTTGCCGTGGAGATAATTCCGACTCATGGTGAACATCACATGTCAGAGTGTAACTATGCTCCTCCATAGGGTTTTTTTCTTGTTGTTGTTGAGAATATACACAGCAAAACACAGACCAATTCAATAGTTTCTATATGTACACTTCAGTGATATTGATTACATTCTTCAAATTGTACAACCATTCTTACCCTCCTTTTCTGAGCTGTTCCTCCCCAATTAATATAAACTCACCGCACTCTCAATTTCCTATCTAATCTTTCAAGTTGCTGTTGTCAGTTCAATACCATATAGACAGATTTAAAATGAGCACAATGCTCAAGGCAGACATTCCTTACTAGTAAAGCTAAACTCCTGTTTGGTTTTAAGAAGATTTCAGGGGATTTTTTGTTTTAAGGTTTAAAGGTTATCTCAGGACAATGGTTTCAGGGCTTCACCCAGCCTCCAAGGCTCCAGAAAGTCTGGAGTCCATGAGAATTTGAAAGTCTGTTCTGCATTTTCCCCCCTTTTATCAGGATTCTTCTACAGAATCTTTGATCTGAATGTTCGGTATAGTAGTCAGGGACCATCCAGTTCTGGTCTCATGGCAAAGGGGACTGTTGTTCATGGAGGCAATTAGCCTTACATATCATTTCCTCCTCCTATTCCTGACTCTCCTTCTTCTGTTGCTCCAGGTGAAAAGAGAACAATTGTTTTGCCTTGGCTGGCTGCTTGCAAGCTTTTAAGACCACAGTACTATGCATCAAACTAGAAAGTAGAACAGAAGCACTAAACACACTATCAGGCCAATTACCTGGGATGTTCTATAAAACCATGACCCTAAACCTCCAAACCAAGGAACCAAATTCCATGAGGTGTCTGGTTGTACATAAGCAGCCTCAGCAGCTTTTTTTTTTTCCAGTCGTTGCTGTAAATATATCTATCACACGACTTTTGCCAATTCAATTTTTTACAGGTATACAATTTATTTACAGCATTTACAATAATCAGCTGTGCAACCCTACCCTTAATCAATGTGATTTTTCCAACACTGTAAACTGAAACTCAGTACTCCATAAACAATAGATTGTACCCTCCATGTGTGTCAGAGTAGAACTGTGCTCCATAAGGCTTTCAATAGTTGATTTTTCAGCAGACTGCCAGGCCTTTCTTCTGAGGTGCCTCTGGAAGGGCAGACTTGAACCTCCAACCTTTCAGTTAGAAACAGTAAACATTTGCACCACCCAAGGATCCCCAAGATTAGCTACCAAAGGGCCACAATGACTAGACAAAAATCACTATCATGTGCAGAAGGAAGGCTTCACAAGAATCCTCTCTCCCCACCCCCGGCACTTCATTAACCAACTGAGGAAATTCCCATGAATGTACTTCAATTTGTTTCTGTCGGATGTTCTTTCATAGCTGAAATGAAGTTACCCATTTTTGACAAGAATACCACAGAAATGATGTTGTGTCTTTCTCAGTTCATCACCGCAAGGGGTTCCTGATGTCAATATGTCTTATTTCAAGTGATACTAACCTTAATTATTCAGTTATGGCAGTATCTACTGAGTTTTGCCACTTTAAATTTACTGTTTTTCCATATGTACTTAATACAGATGAGAGTATGCAAATCTTGTTCCTCAAGTTTTTGTCCAATGTTAGTATCCATGAATAAATATATCTGTAATAATTATTACTATAAAACCCATTGCCATTGAGTCAATTCTGATGCACAGTGACCCTAATAAGGACAGAGTAGAACTGCCCCATAGAGTTTCCAAGGAGTGGGTTAGTACTATACTGTTTACCGAATAGTGATTTTCTATTTCCCTCATTGCTTCCACATTTAATTGGAATTCTTTAAGGAAAAGCTGTCCTTTCTCCCATGTATTCGATTGTTGATATCAGTATGAACTAGATATTTTATGGTTTAAAATCTAATACCATTATGATTTACTTTATTGCTGAAATTTTTCCAGCTTTGGCCATTAGGAACCTCTTCAAGTTGGCTCCTGTGTTCTTCTGACATGCTCCATCCTGTTTTGACACTTCCTTACTTTCTTACACAAGATATTCCAGGTTCATCTTGAATTTTCCACGCCCCAGTCCTGGAATCAATCACTTTTTCAAAGAATCATGATTCCTTTTACCGCAGAATGGTATTTAGAAATCAAAACCTGGCTGTTAGATGGAGTGCTACTGGGGTGACAGTAGACAGGGCTATGAAATACATGCATGCATACTGTCATGGATTGAATTATATCACCCAAAAATATGTGTTTATCAATTTGACTAAGCCATGATACCCAATATTAATGTGATTGTCCGCATTTTGTCATCTGATGTGATCTTCTATGTGCTGTAAATCCTATCTCTAGAATGTTAATAACATGGGATTAGTGGCAGTTATGTTAATGAGGCAGGACTCAATCTACAAGACTGGACTGTATCTTAACCAATCTCTTTTGAGATATAAAACAGAGATGTGAGCGGAAAGACATGGGGACTTCATACCACCAAGAAAGCAGCGCTAGGAGCAGAGCGCGTCCTGTGGACCTGGGGTTCCTGCACAGAGAAGCTCCTAGACCAGAGAAAGATTGATGACAAGGACCCTCCTCCAGAGCCAACAGAGAAAGAAAACCCTCCCCTGGAACTGGCGCCCTGAATTTAGACTTCTAGCCTGCTGGACTGTGAGAGAATAAACTTTTGTTTGTTAAAACCATCCACTGGTGGTATTTCTGTTATAGTAGCACTAAATAACTAAAACACATACTAACTCACACATTTACACACAACTATATTTCTGCATCTATCTATGTATACTAAATATCATTGAGTTATACTGACATCTGACTCTAATCTAACACATTTACTCATTTTAATTGTAGCCTTTCTCCTCCCATTCCTTCTTTATTCAACAATAAGAAACCCAGCTCTCATTATCTGTATTTGTCCATTTGGTCACATAAAGAAGTATATACACAAAGTAGTTTAGAATTGCTAACCTATATCCCTATAAGAAACACATATACCAACTAGATTATAGAATTTATGTATAATTCTTCTTGTCATTAGCCTTTTAGTATGAGTCAAGGTACTGCTTTCCAAAGTTATTTACTTATTTTCTTCCCCATCCCCTTTCAGGGTGGTTATGTTATTCACGTGTAAAACAGTTAGGTTCATGTGTTCTGGTCTCTGTAGTCCATTTGGGACCGCCACGCTCTGGTTGGTTTTATCTTTACTTTATGGGTATGTAAAGGGAAGTATACTATTTTCAAATGCCTAGATGTCAAGTCTAAATATAAGAGAAAGCTAGATTCAGATAGGGTTTTAGTTAAGGGAGTGGAGGTTTTTTCCCCTTGTGGAGGAGCCTTAAACATGTTTATTTCAAAAGTAAAGAGGAAAAAAGAAAGAAGTTGAAAGAAGGTCCCTGAGGTAGCAGCTCATGTGGGTAATTGTGTACAGCAATGGCTCCCAAACTTTGGTGCATCAGAATCATCTGGAGGGCTTCTTAAACACAGATGGCTGGTTCTCACCATAGAGTTTCTGAGTCAATAGATTTGGGGTGGGGTCCAAATGTACATTTCTAACAACTACCAAGATAAGAATGCTGCCGCTGCTGGTCCAAAAATCATACTCTGAGAATGACTAGACTAAAAACAGAGTAGTTCCAAAATAGGAATATATACAGTTATTTAATCAGGTGCAAAGACAAGGTTGGGGAAAAAAATACTTCAATTTACTGAATACCACCTATCTCCAGACTGTGAAGACACTTCACACTCATTCATGGTTTTTCATTTTCTTCTTTACATGTTTATTTTCCCACAAGCACCTTACTTTCTGCCATGAGCACTGACTACTTGTAAAGCACTTTTAAAATTTCACAACTAAATACTGAGGCATAAGAAAAGTTGTTAATTTTTGTTTATATATCTTGGATCAACCATTCTCCCAAATTTCCCTACTAAACTTAAAAAGATTTTCCACTGACCATCACAGTTGCCTATTATGTATTAAGATTTTAAATGTCCAAGCCACTTTTACCATGGATTCCACTTCCAGAAATCTTTTGTTTTTAAACAAATCTTCAAAAGCACATAGACGCATGAATACATTTGTCTAATTTCACACTTAGGAAAAAATAAAAACTAAGAGCAATTCAAATATATCCATCACTAGAAAAAAGGTTCAGTAAATTATAGCAACAAATTACATGCCTAAGCCCCTTATATAAGTTCAGAGTTAAGCAATCAAAGTGCCTTAACCAATTAAAAGATTGTAGGAATCACAAAAAATTGTGCTTGACTGCTGAGTAATTCCCTATGAATGGTCAAAAATAGGCCATATTCTGATTTTTTTTCTATACTTCTCATCATGTACTACTTGTATATAATGGGCAGAGTAGGGAGGGAGTTTTATTAACATGCACAATGAAAAACACATGTAATTCAAGTTTATGTTACAATGATATTCTTTTACCTTAGCTGTATTTGTTTGCGTTTTTGCAGTTCTTGGTTTCTGAGTTCTTCCAAGCGTCTGAGTTCTTCCTGACGCCTCATCAGATCTATAAGATATTGATTACACATTAATATTTTCAGCTTCCCTTTCTGTATTTTTATATCAATAAACATAGATTATCTTCTATTGTGGGCAACATATTCATGCACCCAACTCCTCTTTATTAATCATTTTATAATGAAAGATTATAAGTTGTGGATTAATCAAATTAATATCCTTTCTGGGCCTGTTTCTTCATGTGTATAAAGAGAATAATGAAATCCAACCTTATGTTAAGAAAATTAAAATGGATAATAATTATTTGAACATAGGATCTGCCACATTCTAAAAAGAGAATAAATGATAGCGATACCAGCTCATCTTTTGTTTCCATTTTTTAAATGAATTACAATTTTCTCAAAAGCAAGTGCAAAGCCCAAAAATATGCCTTGGGAGAAGACACCAGCAGAGGGTACCTAAGAGCCAGACCAGATAATCAGCAGGAATGACAAGACACTGTATAAAACTCAAATAAAGATCATCCCTCCCAACACAGTAAGGGTAAGACCCCTCCTGCACAAAGTCAATGTTCTATGAAGGTGGACAATTAGAAGATAATTCTTGAAAAGGTTGAATATTAATGTGAAGAAGGTCATTTTTTAAACAAGAAAAGCATCCTTGCTACCAATCCTTGCCGTATCATCAAGAACAGGGGCTGCAGAGTAGCATAAGATAATGAAAAATACATTTGGTTCTGCACCTCAATGTAGTAGTATAAAAGCTTCCCAACTGCTATAAATCCTTGTCTGTAATATCTTACAAAAATGTACACACGGAAAGGTTAAAAAACATTAAACAATATGTGTTAAAATACTCTGGATAGCACAATGATTTTACTTTCCTTTTCTCTCATTATCATGCTATCTGAAATTTGCAAAATGAACATACATTACCTCAATTCAATGTTTCTTAATAAAGTCCTACACTTACAGCCAACACCACAATACTAACAGCAACCATTTTATATGCATTACAAATAGCTCCTTCAGGCATCACAACCCTACAAGGTAAATATTATCTCCTCCATTTTACAGACTGAAAACAAATATTGAATAACATGTACATTACATTAAAGAGTCAGATAATAAATTTGTCCCAGCCATCTAGCTATTACATGGCTCAACTATAGCCAAATCTCTCCTTATTCCAAAATGCAAGTATCGCAAGCCTAGCTGATCAGACTCAATTGGGAAACTTTTAAAAATAGAATAATACAGAATTTGGAACTGTGCTCAGAAAGAGTGCTTTGATAATGTGGACAGGGTCTAGGTGATTCTGGTAACGTGACGGTGTGAGAACACTGAGCTATCTTAAAAAAAAAAATACATGGTAACGGTGATTATAAACCTTATACCATTAGTCTCAACTTTCACTGTTCATTAGAATTACTTAGGTAAATTTTAACCTCAAATTCATTAAATCATATCTCTTGGGATATAGATCAGGCATCAATGTCTTTTGAGGCTCCCTAGATGATTCCACTGTGCAACCATTATTTAGAAGTGCACAACTATCATGTAATTATTTTAACTGAAGGAACTCAGTATAGACCAAAAATATACAATCTACTTACATTCCTAAGAATACTTCAGTAAGCCAAAATATAGAAGTGTTTCACTATCACTACCCAAGAAAATCAATTCTGTATATCCCAAAACAATTTTACACATAATTTGTTTTATAGGGTAGCTGTTCTTAAATGAAGAATTACCTGCCATATAGGAGCCCTTGTGGCACAGTGGTTAAGTGCTCAGCTGCTGACTGAAAGGTTGGCAGTTCAAACCCATCAGTCACTCCTTGGTAGAAAGATGTGGCAGTCTGCTCCCATAAAGATTACTGCCTTGGAAATTCAATGGGGCAGCTCTACTCTGTCCTACAGGATCTTTATAAGAAGGAATCAACTCGATGGCAGCAGGTTGGTTTTGGTTCACCTACCACATGTGATAATAAATGTGAAAATCTGCATTACGTTTTCTTCCACGAAAAGAAAGAACATGATTTATTTTTCCCAAACTGCATCTGCTACTTTAAAACCGTGCCATCTGAGAAAGCTGCTACTTTCAAACTGTGCCATTTGAGAAAGCTATTTTAACCTCTCAGATTATACTTCCTCACCTATAACACTGGTATAATGGTATAACAATTAACTCCAAAGTTCTCACAACCAAATTATCAGATAAATACAGTTAGCTGATATTTAGAAGGAAGACCATCAACTTAAAGCACTATTTTACACTAACTAAATTATAGGAAAAAAAGAGTTGACTGATATTCAAAATTCCTGATATTTCATTAAAGCTTATACATTTCTACACTGTCATAAAACTAGACCCATTCTAGGAAAAAATTACCGAAAAATATATGATGAGAAGTGTTCTTATCCTTTGATCCAGGAAATCACACATAGAAATTTTCTTATACATGATCCATATACATGAATGTATCAGCTGCAGCTCTACTTATTACAAGACCGAACATGAAAAAATGCTCACATAACAACTTTAAGGATAAAAGAACATAAAAAACAGTATCTATACAATTTTAATAAAGTATAAATAGGAGTACACAACAAAAGACAATGTAGACAAATTAAAAGTTTGATTTACTAGACTTTAAGAAAGTGTTTTCTCAAATGAATACTCTTCATGTCATGAAAATGGAATGTATATCCTCTAATCTCAGAATTGTACTTTCTAAAAATAAGAGATTTGAATCTACAAATTTAAAGGGCATATCTAGTTTCCAACGAAAGCCGAAACATTATGATCCACAATAAGACTTATCTTGAACAGAAGGATGGACAGACAGAAAGATCTAATAGAGCAAGTATGGGAAAATGTTAATGTTAGTGAACACCCAGAAATTCTTTCAACTTTGTTTTAAGTTTCCAATTTTTTCATAACAAAACGCTGGGGGGTGGGGAACATGCCCTGGATAAGTTACTGGAATTCAAAAAGAGAGATCCCACATGGAATCCAAGTAAAACGATGAAGTTATGTACAAGGGAAAAAATTTTCAAGCTTACTTCAGACTTCTCCATAGAAACATTAAATGCTAGAAGACAATGAAACTATACTATCACGTGTTTGAAAGGAAACAAGAAAAAACACCCAAGAATTTCGTACCATTCAAATGCCAGCTCAAAGTACAAGGATCACAGACATTTTAGAACATACAAAACCTCAAGGAATACTGTTCCTATGAGCCCTTCTTATAGAAAACATCAGACCATCAAGTTATGAGCAGAAAATCCTGATTACATTTTTTGAAGATAGGTTTAAGATTTAAGCACTTCATATGAAGACTACAGTTAAATGTTAAATCCAGAAAATAAGGAGCAAAGTAGCGAATAAAAACCAGGAAGAAAAAGGAGGTGCAGAAAATGCCTACTTCTTCGTTCTATTTTTTAATTTTTATAGTTGGGAATTCAAAGATAACAGTAAACAAAAACAAATATACTTCTACTACTTATTTACTAGCATAAAGAATTATAATGCAATCAATACCTTCCTGATGGAAGGGACAAAGTAAAGCAAAATACCAGTAGAGAGTTAATATGATCTACTGAGAGTTCTGAAACCCTGGTGGTTTAGTGGTTAAGAGCACTGGCTGCTAACCTAAAGGCCAGCAGTTCAAATCCATCAGGCGATCCTTGGAAACTCTATGGGGCAGTTCTACTCTGTCCTATAGGGTCGCTATGAATCGGAATCAACTCAGTGGCAATAAGTTGTTTTTTTTTTTTTAAATTGAGAGTTATATAAAAGTTATGTTAACAAAGGTTAACATAACAAGAGTAATCATAAAGAAAATTCAGGACCTGCTTCCTATGATGATGATCAAAAACAAATGGAGGAAATAAAAATAACCAGTAATGAGTGTAATGGGATTTGGATCTAGAAAGAGCTAAACAGACATCAGTGAAAGAAGTATTAATGAAGCAATTATTATGAGGTACTATTGTGTCAAATAATAAGAAACATCATTTATAAAAATTTCCTAAGACATATACATAAATATCCACTGCAGAAGTATTTTTAATAACAAATGGAAAAAGAACCTATCAATAGAGAATGAGCTAAGTAACATTAAATCTGTATATATGAACACAGGTAGAAAGCAAAAAAGCAAGGAGCAGAATAAGGTATAGCTGTGTTATAAAATAAAAACATACACACATATATACTCTTTATCTACTGATATATGCATGATTTTTTTCGTAACGAATACAAAAGAAATGTTAAAATACAGAAGAAATAGTGATTCCCACATGATCCCATAAGGTAGGGGAGGGGCACACTTCTTCTGTACTATTTGAGCATCCTAGAGCTGTGAGGAAACACTGGTGGCGAAGTGGTTAAGAGCTACGGCTGCTAACGAAAAGTTCGGCAGTTGAAATCCACCAGGCGCTCCTCACAAACCCTATGGGGCAGTTCTACTCTTTACTATAGGGTCGCTATGAGTCAGAGTCCACTTGATGGAAAACGGGTTTGGTTTCTTCGTTTTTTATACCTGTGATGTCACTTAGAGAGCCTTGTGATTCTGAAGAAAGAGAGAACCAAGATAATCTCAAGTCCCTCCTCAACTCGAATGAAAACCAAAACCCACTGCCGATGAGCTGATTCTGACTCATACCAACCCACTTGAATACACCCTTAGAAATCCTGGATGAAACGTAAAACTGTACAACACAAGGGGGATAACTGTTAATTAAAAAAAAAAAAGTTCCTGGGTGCATAAATGGTTCAACACTGGACCACTAGCCAAAAGGCTAGCTGTTCAAACCCACCCACAGCCACCTCTGCAGATAGGCCTGGCAATTTCCTAACAAAAGGTCACAGCATTGAAAGCCCTATGGAGCAGTTTTACTCTGCACACATGGGGTTCACCATGAATCCACTGAACATCAACTAACAACAACCAGCTCCAACAACAACAGTAAACTTACAAAACTGCCAGTTTAGGGTCCAAATGGAACCATAAATCTCTGACTTATTTGTAGAGTTTGCT